GGCCTGAAAACCAGGAACTTTAAAAAAATCTAGGACATTCTTCTAGCCTGAAATAATTCTTTCACCTATCTGGCAGTATCTGTAGCAAAGGCAAATAGGGAAGCCATGAAATGACTTTGCGATGAACACATCTGAACTGACCTCCTTGAAATGAAACATGAAATAAATAAGTTATAGTCACTTCTTTCGTAAGAGGGAGCCTTTTTTAAAGTCATGGACACTTCTGAATAAAGCATACTACAGTGACGGAGAATGAACCAATGAATCATTGATTTCATCATTTCAAAGTCCAGGTCTACGGAAGTGCTCTTAGACGTGCAGCACCTGGAAATATTACTGGAATTGGAGAATGGAGTGATAAATGAATTAAGCCAGTATTGCAGAGACTTAGGAGAAGAGGACAGCTATCAGATCTGGAACCTCACCACTCTCCTCTAGCTTTTATTCCTGCTCTCAAACTTGAAGGAATGAGGGTAAAACAACACAGCTCTAGAGCTGGCAAGACCCAAGGCAACCTGCCTTCCACTGACAGGCATCAGACAGTGTGTATGGGTCCCATTTGCAAACCACCTAACTTTAGACAAGGTTAAGCCTGCCCACAAAACTTAAGATACTGTCAAAGACAAAGATGACAACTAGGACAGCAGCATTGAGTTCTTCTAAGGTCTTGGAAATTAGCAAGCAAATGGGAACCAGTGCTATAAAACCATAACAGAGTTACAGAATTAGTTGAACTCTGATGTAACAAGGGAGACTTCTCATGAGGACCCCACCACCAGCTTACTGTCTCACAAACATTAATCCTGCCAAACACCTGCCACTTCCATGGGGATTTCTCTTCCCTCATTGCTCACCTGGTTTTGTCATTCCTCACTTTTTTGTCCCAAGAACCTCGCCCCTGCACTCTTCTTCAGTGCATACTCTTATTTCCTCCATAGGGTATCTGCTTGTTTCCTAGCTAAAATATAGCCTCTGAAGCCATTTCCTCCAACTGCCTGCAGTGAAATGAACCCAGTGCCAGCCCTATTAAGATCAACTATTCTTCTCATTTACTTGAGCCGTCCCATTAGTTATCAGTGGTGACTTTGAAAGGAAAGCAGAGTTTTATACCCTGCTCAGCTCTCACTGCAGCAGGCACTTACAAATAACTGAAGCTTTGTTTTCAGAAAAAGCAGCCTTGCTTTAGAGCTGACAGGACGATCCATAAAGTCACACAGCATCCGAAGTATTTCCAGACCAGCCAGCTCAGTGGCAGCCTGCTGTATGGCCACAGGTCTGCTCTCTCCTAACACGTGAAGCAATGTTGTTGAATTTGCTGGGGATACCTGGATGGTACTGCAGGTGGGAGCTGTCAGTACAGGTGATGGTAGCTGACCATTCACTTATCAGTGCAGAAAAGAAAGGCTGATAACCCCTGGCAGGGCAAAGGTGTATGCAAGACAGCCAAGCATTTCACCCTGCAACGCTCAAAAAATAAAACTTTACAGTGATCACTTCCACTCCTCTCTCAGCTGCAGTTCACTCACTACAGATACCTGAGTACTTTCAATGGCTTCACTGAGACATGACCAGGCTGTGGCCAGCAATATTATGCTTTCCAAAAAAGCACAGTGCACCTCCTAAGGCAGCAAAAGTAAAAGGTCATTCTTTTTTTTCTTAATTCCAAACCACAGGGAGTGCCACTGTCCATAACCCACTGTCACTGCTGGACCATGTCACCTCCAAGGTTAACAATGCTGATGAACAAAACCTATGAAGTGGTTCATTACAGCCAAGTACACCTCTCTCAGTCCACCTCCGAGGGAGCCAAGAGAACCGATTTCTCTCCAGCTACTGAAAGAGGTAGCCCACAAAATGTCACATATGTTCTTTTCAGGTGCTCAGCACTGTACCGTCTAAGGTACTATAAATCCCCTGGAATTAAGCAGAGTCCAAGAGATTGCTCTAGCTCTTCTAGCAAGATTGGAAATTAATACAGACTAGGCTGACCCTTCCACTCGCTGGGATTTAGGCAGCTTGTCAATATCACAAGCAAGAGAAAGGACAAACACAGGAAAATTGCAATGAAAGATCTGCTTATCTAGCTAAATGCACAAGCCCCACCACTGACAGCACAAAGGACAGAATGCAGAATAGCTCCTTGGAATAGCTGTGAAGCAACAGATACTTTTCAAATGCAGCTTGGCAGCACCACTGCTTTCTGAAACAAAGGGGGCTGCAGCCTCACTGACAACTCATGAAAAATGGTGTCTAAAAATGAGTTAATATGAAATGCATCATCACAAAAGGAATATATAAAACCTGAAACACAGGGCTCAGGTTCCACAGTGAGGGGCATGCTAGCAATTTCTACAGGAGCGTTCATTTACAGTGTGTCAAAAGCTAATCCAGGTCAATTCACTACCTAAAAGTCAAGGTTTTGAGAAACGCCTGTTCTTTTCTTGCTAAGCGTGCTCCCTTCCCCGAAGCACAATCAATGCCAATCAAACCCGGCACATGAGCAGAGCTCTAGTGGAGAGATGCAGCCCATACAAATGAAAAATGCCACGAGCCCCCCTAGAAAGGCAGCCCTGACAAAGCCTCCAGCACAGCTCTTCCATTAGAGCCTTTCATAAAACACAGCCAGAGTGTGAATATAGAGTGCTGGCTAGAAAGCACTCCCGAGTCATAAATCACATGGTACACACGCAGCATAAGTGGAGTTTATTCATGACGGACAGTATTTCAACAGGGCTTGATAGATGGGTGAAGAAAAGGAGCCAGACTTTATGGAGGATAGAACCAGTTACACAAGAGATTCTTCATTAGGGAGAGAACCTTAATGATATGAAGCATAGTCAAGCAGAGTCAGACTGAAAGCTGGGGCTGTCCTGCGCTTGTCTGTCAACAAAGCAGGCACCGTTACCTCTCCGCAGCTGCTGCCGCTTGCTGCCTGCTGTACCAGGCAAGAAAGGCACAAGAAGTCGGTCCACGCATCGCTACACAGAAACTCCACTGACAAGCAGTTCTGCTCTGAATTTACACCAGCGCCATTAGAAGGAGATGTTGGACAGCACTGCAATCAGACCGCTGCAGCTCAAGCGAGGCGATGGAAAAAAAAGAGCTCTCATGATTCCCTACATGGCAGAAGGTTAATTACTTAGATCTACCTCACTAGGACACCATCAAACCAACTCCTGACTATCCCTCCTCCCCACAGAAGAATAAGTGGGAGACAAGCCAGTCCACCCCTGTTTAAGAACTGCTCCCAGCTGTAATCTGAGCTACTAAACTTGATTCCTCAAACACCTGTTATTCTTGGACAAGCTCATTGTGCACTATACGTCAGCAGCACAAAATGAAATTTTGATGCTATGCAGGAAGAGAAGGCAGCAAGAATGGCATGTTACACTGTTGTAGGTAAATAAGACCGCGATACTGGATGCTCCATCACTCAAGGTGCCAGAGCAAGAACAGTTACAAACATTGCTACAGCAGCATTCTCTGTCCTAGGAAGTGCTGGTGGTGATAGCTTCTAAGGGAAAGGCCACATCATTTCCAGTCTAAACTTGCTCCATGAACCACCACCACCACAGCTTGGGACAGCAAGCTCAGGACACAGCTCTCCCTACAGAGATTGAGAGAAGTCAAACAGCTCACACCACAAAGCCACCTCACCACAGTCCACAGTCTGCTACTGCTGACCAGGAGTAAAATACTCTGTTGTCTGTCCACATGAGCACTTTGCCATCTCAAAACACGGACAGAGTCCATAGTGCCCTCTCCTGGCAAAAAATGCAGGAGAAATGTTACTGGCAAAATCAAGAATATGAGATTTCAAGTGAAGTGGGAACTTTCAGAAACCAAAGCTGCCTGGAAAAGATTCAGTTTAATAATAATAATTTCTCCTTCCCTTCTCTTTCCCACGCGCACAGGAGGGAAGGCCACATGGAACACTAGATGCCTACAGGCAGTTTAAATGAGACATCTGTGTTATTGCTGGTGATCCACACTCAAAATTGGCCACAACCGGAAGCTAGCTGTCTGCTAAAAACAGGATTGATCTCACCGAACTGTATGACAGCACACTGATGACAGGGTGATTATGCAGAAAGGACAAGCTAGCGTAATGAAAGGAAGTCATGAAAGGTACTTGCACCTTGATTATGGGCTAGATTAGAAAGCTCGCTGCTCTATCAATGTCTTACTAATTTGTTTCACTTCTTTTTCTGGGTACACCTTTTCAAGTGTTAATTTAACCAATATGACCTAATCGCTGTATTGGTTTTTAATACGCTTAAGAAAAAAAAGGGAAAAAAAATTACATTATTAACCTCTAACTAATACCTATATATGCAATTTTTCGTCACTTTGTCGGAAATAAAAGTCACCCTGAATGGCCTGGTATGGTAAGCTGTAATAGGTTTATTTAAAAATACAGCTGTCCTCTCTGTGTACTGTGATCTTCTAGTCTTGTTAAAGAGCCTCTGTCACCAGGGCCTGGAAGACTTAATATACGACGTTTATTATGATTAGAAATCATTTGTACAGCACTGTAAATTCACACAGCACTTTCCCAAGACCATTTATAAGTCTAATGGCACTATAAATCCCCGTTAGCTTCCGCACTTTATTCCCCAGAATCTCTATTTATTCAAACGATCCCCCCCACTGCAATCTTGTCTTTGAATACATCAAGCCACAGTCCCACACCGGGCCGCCCATCTCCCAGGTGACAGGCTGGGTGGATTGCTAACAAAGCCCTGGACTATACACTTCAAAAAAAAAAAAAAAAAAAAAGGTTTTACTATCAGAACCAAACGTCCCTAACAATAGCACAGTAACGACACAGACATTTGGCTTTCAACGCGCACTGGCAACAATTGCTGCTGTTTGTATTACTGTTCGCAGCGAACAGCCCCAACGCACGCAAGCGCTTCTCTCAATTCTTGCGATCTGCATTAAACTGCTCAAGCATGCATGCAACCAGCAGCAGGCCCTCCCCCTGCCACCACACGTACTTGATGCTATCGGTGTGTGTTTTATATTCCATGATGGTGTTGGGAGGTAGGTTGAGCACTCTTCGTAATGTATCGCGTATCCGGGCTGTCGTGGCCTGGTCGCTGGCTGTCTTGTTCCATATCGAGATAATATCCTCCTACAGAAAAGCATGTGAGGAGTAAGCAGATGGTACTTTTTGTAGCCCTGCCAAATGGAGTATGTGCCAGTTCTAAGAAGCACTTACCTGGAATCGGACAGAGACAACTGCCCCACAGATTTCTTCCCCCACCATAAACTGTTCTCCCAACATTGCCAGAATGAGATTCTCCCAGCATCGTGACGCTAAGCCCTTTCGCAGACGGATAATCCATTTACCACCATTTTTGTTGGCATCATCCTAGGAAGAGGGGCAAGAAATCGATTTGTTTTCTTCTAGCTATTTTTCTGCTTCCCACAAGACAGCAGAGCCACAGACAGGAGCAGATATTGACTGCGTGGGGCAAGGGACAGAATGGAGGTATTTCCAAGAAAAAGCACTTCGCTTCTCCCCCATACAAGCAGAGACAGAGGTATACCACTTACTTTGAATAAAAAGTATTTGAAACAATAACTCTCAGCGTTCCAGACGAAGCTCTATGCACTGAAGACTTGAGCGACTAACACCAGCCTACCAATTTGTACACAGAACCAGAGTCAAGGACCCTAAAACTATTCCTAAACCCAAGATTGATTCCCTCTTTGTCTAGTTCCTTGTATATATAGTTCTGCTTGTAATACAGGAAAAATCCCTCATCACAGAACATGGAAGGCAGGAAAAGAGTTTGCAAAGTGATGTTTAAAAGCAAGCGAGAAGTCGATAAACGCATTCCTTCCACACTTCCAGGAATGGGCTCACAAGTTGTGTTAACACGGAAAAGACCAGTTCATTCTCTGGGAACCACTGGCATCGCACATCAGCTGAATGTTTGTTCCAGACTGCAGTGACCCAGGGAAATGACAAAAAAATGAGGGGAGAGAGTAAAGAAAGGATTTATGCTAAGCACCCAGTCCATCACCTCAATGTTGTGATTCCGTATGTTGCACCTGAAAAAAGAGGTGAAAACTGCTACAGACTCCCCTGCTGCACAGAACACACACCTATGTCAAACAGCAGCTCCTCCTCTGTGCAGAATGCTGTGGCATTCTCTTGTACAACACTGTAGCTGGGAAATCTTACAAGATGAGGGAGCAACAAATTCCATCAAAAGCCAAAGAGAGAGAGATAGGAACAAGTCAAAGAAGTGGCAGTTAGGAAAGGAAAGGGAAGACAGATCTAGGACAGAAAAGAGAACAAAGGATAACTCAGAGGGGACTGCACAACACAGGACGTCCTTGGCCAAATCACCAGCAATCCCCTCTGCCAAGCTGGGACACACCTTAAAGATGCTAGGCAGGGCAGCTCAACCTTTCTTAATGAAACAAAGTTAACTTTATTTTAGCCTTAAAGCTTCTCTAGGGCTCAGGTAAAATCAAACGTTTGTGTGCTCTCAGAGACAGCAGGTGCTAACGAAGCAATCCTGAGCAAACATGGAAGTGTCAGCGTAACAGACTCCTAGTTTTCAGGTATGTGCTAAAGCCTTTACTGAAAGGGGAAGGCGTCAGCTTTGGACAAACAAAGCATGACAGCCACATGCACGGTGAAGAATCCAAAGCAACACAAGTTCTAGGAATGTGGCACACTCCCACGAGATGCAAACTATTTTCTGATTAAGTGTCCTTGTTTTCCAAGTTGTGAACATCACACACTATGAATTAAGCCATTGAGGCTTCAGCCTTTAAGCAGGGAGTGGGTCTAACTCTTCAAACTCTCCACAATGACTAATGGGGGTCAGAAGAGAAAATGCTATTGCTCAAAATATTTCGGAGGTGGTTTAAGCAGGTTCAAGGCTAGAAAGAGAACAGTGATTGGGAGGCGGATGCTGTATTGTGTGTTTTATGGTTATTGTTAGTTTTCTTTCAGGTTAAACAAGCTTTGGTTCAGTCAAGCATTTGATTTCCCTTTACCAGAATAATAATGATCTACAGACCAGTAAATCACCAGGAAGCACTATGCTTAGTGCTTCTGACTTTACCCAGAAAAGGCACAGATGGATCCAGAAAATGATCAGAGCTACATACATGCATACATGTGCCTACAAGAATGACAGCAAGTAAGGATTAGTTTGGAAGAGAAAGGAGCATAAATAAAGCCCTACAAAGCAAGCAGCAAAGGGAAGGCCAGCAGCAAGATCCCAGGTCCTTTTCTATACATAAAAGAAGGGAGTGGGGCCAGAAGTTAAAAAACAAAGAATCTCTCCACCTCCATCTAAAAATGGCCACAGGGAAGCGTTTTACAGAAATTTTGGTATCATTACCTTGTGGACTCTCTGGTTTACACATTATCAGAGCAGCTAGCTCACTAGGAGTCCGAAGAGGGTTAAACGTTTTATATAAATTGTATTTGCAATATCTGGCTATAAAACACCTTGCTTAAAATAATTGCCAACTAGGGTCACATATAAATTTCCCAGGACCAAGCAGCATAATTAGGTACTTCAGAGCAACACATAAAATCCTTCATATTGCGAATGGTATTGGTCATTGCTGGAAGCAGGCCAGGAACTGGAAGAATGATTTGGTGAGTAAAGATTTTTATTTTTTTTCTTTTTTAACAGATTTGGATTGGAATGAACAGAAGCAAACTAAGTGCTCTGGAACAAAAAAAGCCAATGAAAGGCTAAGTCTTCTTTCCATCTCCAGCTCTACATACAGCTGTAGATATTTAACCACATGCACCTCGTCCTTCCTTGTCTGAAAAAGGAGGATTGGTTTCTTACAACCTTTGTTGAATTCCACTTACAGAGGTCCAGGCCAAGCCCCGTACTGCTGTGACTGGACAAAGCTACAATAAGGGGCAAGTGTCTATATTAGGAGGCACAGAGCTTAGTTGGGGTCCCCCCTTCACTGGGCTCCAGGTGACACTGTCCAGAGATCCTCAGCACCCACAGGCGAAGGCAGTTCTGCGACCTTTGGGGGAGTGCAGCTAGCAACTCCCTGCATCTTTCCTCCCCTCTGCCAGCAGGTCACAGGACTGCTAGGTAACACGGGACAGAGTTCTGAGGACAAGTTTACAGGAAACCCAGAAGAAAGGACTGCACCCAAGAGAAGCCTGGAGTGCCGTTTAATGACAAGAGTCCCTCCACTGTAGAAGAAGGGAGTATTCCCTCCAGAACACTCTGGGAGAATATCAAGGCAGAACTGAGAGTTCCAACTCACCTCCCACATGGGTTTGATTCCCTCTTTGAAAAGATGGAAGTCACTATGGCCTGTCAGGTCCCCAGGACGTACCATGTGACTGTAAAATCGCCAGAACTGCTCCACCTGCAATGACACGAACCACACAATGAGGCTGCTCAAACTGTTCACAGCCAGGATTCCTACCAAAACAGACCTTCCTTTCTACACCAGCTGGCCAGAGCCACCTCCCCCTCTTCTGTTCTACTTCCTTGTCACAAGGGTGTTGATTAGGATGCCCAGAAGGCAGCAGTAGGATCAGAGCTTGGGTGCCTGTTTCTGATTGGCTCCATTACCAGATGACTACTTGAAATATTTAACAGGTGCCTCCAAAGTCACTTGGTGTATCTGTGCTAAGATAACTGCTGCTCTGGAGAACAGTTCCAAACAGATCTTGTAAATTCTACTGCCCAAACTTTCAATCAGTCTCAAGTACATCAGGTACAGCCAAGCCCTCTACACTATACACATTAGCCCTGCATTAACCACTGCTCTCTGCAATTGTGGAGACTGCAGGAGCCTCCAAATAAGACATTTTTTCTGTATTTAATTTTACTGTATCCAGGTTTTAAGACAAAAGACACATTCTGGTGCTGGTTTAAGATCTTAAGACACCATTCAGAGCTTTTATTTAAATACCTCTTATTTCCTTTTACAATCTGCCATGGTACACTTGGACCACTTTATTTTGACCAGTTTTCATTCTGGCATCCCTGTGTTATTTCAGACCATCTGGCCGGAAGGCAAGGGAATTATCTTTTCTAATTCTTAAAAATAACATATTTAACCTTTCAGATTCTCTGGATAAAAAAGGATTTGAGAGGCTGGATCTTTAAAATAAAACAAGGCACTGGAAGAGATTACACTAATTTCCATATTTTAAAGGACTCTACTCAGTAAGACAATAGCTATTAAGCAGACCAGCAGCAAAACCCAAGGGGTCAGACACCATCCCAGCTACTTTATCAGAGATCTTAATGACTTGGTCAGCACTTGGAATTCTGCTCCAATCTCCGACCTCTGCCATCCAAGCAGGAATTTGCTTTTATAGCCAATAAAATTATGAACCAAGACTGAGGTGGGGTCAGAAGCAATCTATTTTTGTCAGATACAACCAAATGCAGTGTGGAAATTACATTCTTACACCGAGTGAATATGCCCTCTAGTGGTTAGTACTTAAAAGCTTATAGAGCTTTCTGCTGAAAAGAATAAATCTGAACCCAAATTTAGGCTCAGACAATGTTCTGAAGCTTGTTCTTCCTCCTCCTCAAACAGAATTTGGAACCAAACACATTATCAGATCTGCTGGCCAGTCTCTCTCCATCCTAACTGAACTCTAGCACTTCCAACCTACAACAGCACCCACAAACTCTTTGCAGCAAGGAGCAGACAACAGCATGTGTCAAGTTTTTCTTCTAAGGGGCTAAAAATCAATGTTAAGTCTACACTGATTTAACAGACTGAAAAGTTATTGCTAGATCATCAAGCTGCAGCCACATTTTTCATTCACTGAACTAAAAGCACTTGCTCACAGCGGGGAATGGGAGCAGGAACTACCAATGATGATAGGCTTCGAGCAATTCTTCCCACTCTTGTCCTGTGTGGATGCAGTAATGTAACCCAGCTGTTCGGTCAGGTATATTTTTGCAGCCTCCAGAAAGGATAAAGGGATATTTTTACAAATTCCTACATTACAGAAGATAGACATTTACTGGTGGGAAAAATTAACATTTGCAAGGGACCCTGGGAAATCTCAACAAAATACTAGATTCAAAAAAAACCCCAAAAACCACCCAACAGACTTCCTAGCCTTGATAATGGTATTGTATGTGGCGCCTCTACAACAGAGACATATTTTGCTTAGGTATCTTGTGATCTTAATTACAGTTTTACACTGCCAGTACCACGCAACAACCCAACACTGCCTGTCGAGGACATGCTCAATTTATCCCAGGTATAAACAATCACAAAGAGTGGAAGGGGGAAAGGAGAACAGTTTGCCTTTTAATGAACTTCACTGCAACACCAAACTGCACCTCAGTCATCACTTCCAAACGGACAACGGGCCACCAACCGCTTGCACATACAGCATGCCAGAGGCTTGTTCGACAGTCTTTGTGGTGGAAATACAGGCACAGGGCGGGGGGACTGTGAGTGTGGGGACTGTACAGCCTTTGCTTCACAACTACATTGCACCCAGAAAAGCTGTTCCTTCCTTCTCTTGCTTACTGGTCAAGTTCTGCTCCAGCTAGCAGATTTAAGCTACATGGGAGTTCTATTATCTCTCCAGCTACCACCATTACTGCAGGCACAGATGTCTAGCACAGGGCAGAGGAGAACTCCTTAGGACATGTCACCTGCTGTAGGTAATTCAAGAACTCATACATCAGTCAGGGCGAATTGCTTGCTCTCCTCTACTCCTGACAACAAGAGCACAGCCTGCACGTGTACATGCCTAGCGCACAGGGAGTAAGGCAGCCACGATGACCACACCATGTCCAAGTGACAAAAGGGCAACAGGGATATACTCACGGAGGCAAAGGTGCCAATCTGTTTGATGTTCTGTTCATAACTCTGCGAGCTGGTAGGCCTCCCGGGTGTTCGTCTGGAGTACCAGAAGGTGTAATTATACTGCAAGGGGTGCTCAGCTGGCCCTGGGACAACAGCCTACAGAAGAGAAAAGCTTGCTTACCCCTCATATGCTCCTCTAAAATGGGAACAATTACATTCACAGCATCAGAAGTACACATGTTCCTGCCCTCACAGACTATAAAACAAACAACCGGTCCTCATTTTTACAGAAAAATACTATCTCTGTTAATTGTCTGAAATGGATGATTAGGGCAACAGCAGCTATTTCAAAGAATATTAGAAATCTGCAGTGCAGGGATGGCTAAGGAAATAACAACTTAAGCTCAGGACAGCATCACTAAAAAACCAACTGTCATAACTATTAGAGGCAGTATTATTAAGTTTTCCTTTAGTCTTTATAGCTGTTCCTATCTCAAAGGAAAAAAGAGACAAACTAAGAAGGGCAATGCAAGAGTTTTAACTTTTTGAAATTAAGAAAAAAACCCCAGACAGTCTCCTCCCCTGGGAGGAGCAAAACCCATTTATACTAAATCATGATTCAAAAGCAATTATAACTCTTTGGTGACACCAACTCCCTTAAGCAACCAACACCCTAACACTCTGGGAGGGTTAGTCTGTCTTAGAACTCATCATGTCAGTGTTAGCAGAACCCACGGCTAGCAGTGGGCCATGATCATTTTTCAATTTCCAAAATATCCACTTCTAATTAAAAAGACTCCTAATGAGCACAAAAGAGGTTAGCTCTAACACATTATCCAAGAGCAAAAATTGACAGAAAAACAAACAAACAAAAAGTTCTCATCTTCTATTACTCGATATTGTTACATGAGTAACCAGAGCTTAAATCTCTCCTGTCTTGTCTATGGTAAGTTTAGACAGATTGTATTACTTTAGACAGATTAGTTTTGCTGAGATTAAAAACAACAAATCAGGATGGACATATGCCTTCTTAACTAGGCTACATTACACTCACTGAGATCCGACTTAAGGGTTATTTCAGCAACGGCACAAACACAGCCTGGCAAACCAACTGCAAGCCACTACCCCCCCCCCCCACACCAACACCGTCTTAAACAAATAAAATTAGGGAAAATAAAGCTTTATTTCTCATTTCATTCAAAAGCCTGGCAGAGTATGAGCTGCATTTCTGAAGGAAGCATTCACCCCTCACATTATACACCTCCAAAAGCTACATCAAATTATCCAAATGCTAACATAGCCCCTCTGTCTTCACTACAACAGCGCATTAAACGACCTCAGCCCACCAAGACATGTTTTCCTTATCCCTGAACTGAGGACCGACTGTCTAGCAGTCCCACATCATGTCCTAGTGATAGAATGCAGATGCCAGCACTGCACCTTCCTCTTGGTAGTACTCTGCGGTTTCTCTCGATCATTCTTTTCCTTCTCACTGTCTTTCTGTGTGTTATTCTCCTCATTCTGGTCATGGTCTCCGCTATCATCATCTTTTAATCTGGTAAAGAAAAAAAACAAAGAAAGTGAATCTCACGTCGCAAGGCTGAGAAGGTTCATATCAAGCCTCAGCAGTCTCTGCTTCTAAGCTTCTCCGTGGTACAAGGGCCATCAGCATTTGGAAATCTACACATGACAACCTACACAGTAAAACTACTACTACTTTGCATGCCCAGAGCCCATCACAGGCACTTTAGGCACACACTTTTAAGCAAAAGTAAGCAACAAAATGTCTTTTTAGAACAAACTCAAGCAGTTTGTACTAGATACTGATCTGCCACTGAAAACCCCAGCTACTTTGTTAGTGTTCCTAACTACTCAGGAGGCAAACACGAAGACCTGTCACTGTAACTTTACTGCCTCTCTCCCACCCAGCTCCCCACGCCCCTAACCATAGCAGAGGCAGCTCCTGAGGCGAGCAGACACCACGCCAGCACCCCACAGCTCTCTCCGCCCGCCCCATTCCCTGCGAAGGCCCGGAAAAGATGAGCGAAACACGGGGCCAAAAGGCGGCCC